TTATCTTCTGTGTCTGTGTCAACTGGTTTCCCTTTTCTTTGTTGAAGAGGGTCTGTGCAGTCCTTCTGCCTAGTCCGCCATCTTGCCAGAACTCTGGAGGTCAATTCTTAAGCTCTTGTTGTGTGTTTTTGTTTTGTTTTGGAATTCCATTTTTGTTGTTGTTGTTTTTCTTTCTGCCCACCCCTTATTGATTTGTATTGTGCTGAGTATATAAGAAATATAACACCTACCATTTTTACAATCTGAACTTGTGCAGTTCAGGGACATCCATTATGTTCATGTTGTCGTTCATCCATCACCCCAGCCATTCACAAATTCTTATATTGACCTTAACAGAAGCTCAGTGTCCCCAAAGCATTGTGTGTCCCTTCTGTACTCCCCCACTTTCCACACTAGCCGGGTCCCATTAAAGAACTCTGCTGTCTGTACCCCTGCTTATTCTAGATAGCTCATGGACTTGTGATCACACGATGCCTTTCATTGTTATTCAACCTCATAGCCCGATTCAACACACGGCAACCTTAAGGCTCAGACAGATCATGCACCTCTTAGTCTGAGGTTAGTCTGCATTCCTGTCTGAATGCAGGCAGGAGATTTGTCATTATTCTGCTGCGTGGCTGTCAGCTGCCATCCAGTCGGCTCTGACTCATGGCAATCTCCTGTAGAACAGTGACACTGACCAGACCTGCACCGTCTTCATGACCTTCCAATGTTTGGCCCATTGATGCAGCCATTGTGTCAGTGCATCTCATGGAAGGTCCCTTTGTTCTCACTGACCCTCTACTTTGCCAAACATGAAGCATTTCTAGCAATTGGTCTTTCCTGACAACACGTTCAAGCCAAGGGAGACATAGTGCCCACCGTTCCCAGTTCATTGTTAGTGGAATAAGGGTGATAGGAAAGTTGCAGGGTCAGTCTACTTGTGGTCCTGAGATACTACTTTACACTCTTATTGGGAATTACCTTTGTATTTAACAGGAATCATTGGGGACTGGAAGCATCACTTCACGGTGGCCCAGAGTGAAGCCTTTGATAAAATATACCAAGAGAAGATGGCAGGACTTCCTCAAGGGCTCTTCCCATGGGAACCATGATCTGATATTTCTGAGTCTGAGATGAATATTGATTCCCTTCCTGCCTTTCTACATGAACATCCTTAGATATGGAAGAATATTTGGCATTGTGTCCTGGGGACTTTAATCCCTCAGCATAATTACACATTTGATAATTATGAACTACCAATACTTTATTAAATTTGTGACATAGCAGCTACAACGTTCCACATTATTTCAAACAAATAGGAAACCACATTATGAAACCCATGTAAATGTTACCCAGGCTAAGATGTATAATAGAATGCTTTGTCATGTCTGTGACTGAGGTATTACAGCATGAAATGACACGTTCAGTACACAGGTCCCTCTCCCTCTGTAGCCATGTCCAATCACACTTCTGTCTGCATTTCCCATCATTCATAATTACTCTGAATTCAGAGAGGATGTCTCTGCAGTGGCTGTGCTTGGTGCTTGGCCCGGATCATCAAGCAGTGCTCCTGTGCTCCAGCTGGGTCTCGTGGTGGCACAAACAGTCAAACATTTGATTTCCTACTGAAAGGTTAGTGGCTCGAACACAGGCAGAGGGACCTCAGAAGACAGGCCTGGTGATCAGCTGCTCAACAGTCACCGCCTTCTTTAAAACCCTAAGGAGCAGTCTTCTCTGTGACTTGTGGATGGCTTCTGATCATTTGTGCTCTGTAGCCATTGATTTCTCCAATATGGACACGAAATAGAGGATCTGAGATCGATCGGAGATGAATTTGTCATGAGTGATGGTGGTGTCATTCTACTTTCTCTTCCAAAGTCAGGTAGGGAGGCGGGACCTGAAAATGAGGAAGGCTGTGGAGTGAGGCTAACGATTGACTCGCTCTTCCCTGCTTGTTCTTGGCTATGGTTTCATGACTAGAAAGGTATCCGACAGAGGCATACATTCTGAGAAAGGGATTAGGAGAGACTTTCGTCACATAAAGGCATGTGAGACTAGGCTTCCTAGAGATTGAGGAGTCTTACAGGATTCTTAATGTACATGTTAGTGATCATGGGAGACTAGTTAGAGGGACAGAATTCTGAAGAAATATGGAAATAAAGAAGACTCCATTCTGGATGATAACCATAGATGGGACACTGTTGGTGGACGGAGAATGGGGCAGGGTGAGCTACATGTGGAAAGGTCAAAAGTTGAAGATACTGAGGTATATTCAAGGGCTGAAATGAATAGATGACTGTTGTGTGGAGCACCAGGAAATGAGGTGGGGAATTTAAAATGTGGAAACTGTACTTTCCACTACAGAATCTTGAAATTCTGTCAAAGGCAATGGAACCCATTGGATGGATTGAAATGGGGAAATGGCTGGAGCATATTCTTAAAGACCACACTTTAAGGAGGCCTGGTGGCATAATGATGAAGTGCTCGGCTACTAACTGAAAGGTCTGCAGTTCCAGTCCACAGGTGCTCCATGGGAGAAAATACTTGTTGACGTTCTCCCATAAGGATTAGAGAATGTTGTTATTATTTGCCGTCTAGTTGGACCCAACTCATAGTGAACCCTTCTTGGGTTTCCGAGGCAGTGTCACTAGGGAATTAGATTGCCCAACCTTCCTTCTGAGGAGTGGCTAGTAGATTCGAGAATAAGAAAGCCCATTACATTTCCAATATGTTGCCGAGTGGCATCATTCATCATAGATGGAAACAACTTTTGGGTGTGAATGTATAAAGAATTAGAAAAGACCACAGTAGTATCCATCCGTTTCCCCAACACAATTCTTCCCAAGTCGTTCTTAATCCCAGGTCTAGGTGAGCTAGTGATGGCAATGACACAATTCACCACTTCTCTGGCTGTCTTATCTGCAATGATTTTGGAAAGACTTCCAATGTTATTCATCTGAGGGGGCATAATTCCTGGGATTACCTATTGGCCCACATAAATGTTTACATTTTTCTGATATAGCATCCATTAAAGAAAACCACTCAATTGGCTATTTGTTAGTTAGGCTTAAGTGAACTTTTCCAGTGCACATAAACCACAGCTTCGAAGAACTTGAATTTCTTTCCAAGAGAAATATTGGCAAATAAATGATTTCCAGTATATTTTACTTTTGCTGTTGTTGGTAGCAGCCAAGGACTTAACAACTAATACCACCTTGGGATGCCCATGGTTTTGTAGGAACAAGGGGCTGACACCTGCACACATGAAAAGCCAGTGATGACAACAGGTTGAAGCAGGAGAGAAAAGGGATTTATTGAGTATTGATACAGAAAGAGGCGGAGAGGATCACTTCTCTAAAATGTGTGGCTCCTCGAGCAAAGGGCCAAGTAGGAAGAAAGAGGGAAAGGGAAGGGCCCGAAGAGCCTCTGGACGGCCCTGGATGGCTTTCTCCTCCTTTTCTGTGGTTATTCCCGACTCAGTGTCCCTCTTCCCAGGCTCGTCCCGCTGCATGGAGTATGGAACTCAGTGGAAATCAGGCATGGAAGAAGTTTCTGTGCAACAGAATGGATAACAGAAAATAACAACTGCAGTGCATTTAATAACTTGGTTTGGTTTTTCTAGCTTCGACTTTGTAACTCCCCTGGCTTACTTTGTGGCACCATGAAATAAGGTGTGTAGAACTCTGATATTGAGTTCTGCTTCAAAGGCCTTGTTATGGCTGATGATTGCATTTCCAACCTTCCATTGTCCATGCTCCATGAAGCCACTCTCATCTGTGAAACAAGTTAGATGTAATTCACACACTGGCAGATCAGAGAGATCTGGCTTGTGCACATACACCAGGTTTAGGGCCCTGACACAATGGTGATGAATGGTGTCTGCTTAGGGAAAGTGGGCAACAGGGTAGTGAGGTTTAAGGTAGTTGCTTGCTGGATCTGCACACTTGGCTTGTCTAGGACTTGTCTTTGGTCTAAGGGTATGAGCACGCAATGAGCAGAGTCAACAGGGATGGTCTGCCCAAAGGTCAGCTTGTCAACAGTTATCAGCATCTTCGCTACTGCTGCTGTCACGTCCCAGCAGGCAGGCCAGCCCTGTGTCACTGGGTCTGAAGTTAGGGAAAGGATGTCACCGGTGTTCTCCAGAATGCAGGAACTGGGTAGGAACATTGCTAAGACTGGGCCGCCAGGAAGGTCTGCTTTAGTTTTTCAAAGGGCTGTTGCTCTAATTTTCCCCATAAAAAGGGGTCCATCTCTTTATTCTTCTAGGAGGAAGTACAAGGGTTTAGTTACAAATCCAAAGTAGGTATTCAAATCCAACAAATCCTGCCATATCTGGGAATCCTTCAAGCACTTTGCATGTCTGTGGTTGGGCTAGCTGGCAAATGCCTTGCTTTCTCTCCAGTTGCACTTTCCTTTCTCCTTTGCTGATGGCACACCTCAGATATCTCACTGTCTTTTGGACTTTCTGGACTTCATTCTTAAGGACTCGGTAGCACTTCACTCGGTGTTCACTGCCCACCCCCATGCTTCCTCCAGGTCCCTGAATTGTCTTCCTGCTGCCAGGAGCACTCTGCCTCATGAACATCTGGGCTTTCAGCATTCGATCTTATCTATTGTCTGAAGGCATTGAGAACTCTGCACAGAAATGTAGAGGGAGCCTCACCCCTCCTTTCCTGATCTTACACTCCTTATTCAGACTCCCAAGTTTGGAGCTCCATCCCTAATTCCTATTAATATACAGTCTCTGTGATTTAAAGTCTTGCATAATTTTCTGTGTCATTTAGGACCTAGCAAGAGGACCTAGTGGCATATTATTGTCCAAAGTACCCACACCTGCCCGGGTTGGGCATCTGTGCCCCTCTGTGCTACTGCGTGGCCACAGCTCAGCACCAATACCGTCCCTCCAGAGTTAACAGAGTAGTCAGAAGTGACTGACAATCAGCCCACGTTGGGCCAAGAAGCTAAAAGTCAGCACTTCATATATTTTGCCTGCGTTAGTCCAGTACCCTGAGGTATAACTCTTCCAATTTCATAATTCCGTGCTGTAATAGTCACGTGCACCCTAACCCTCTCTCCCCCTGAGGGGATCTGGCGAAGTGGGTGTTGGCCCCTAGCCACATCCGTATGGCCCGTTCCAGTGTCTGGCCCTTTCTGGATCAAATCAGGTCTCTGACAAGGTTCCCCTGCTGGGTGGGAAAAGGGAAATTAGGGAGCCTTCTGCCCGTTCACCTCTTCCCCATGGCTCCCACTTAAAAATAGAGTCTGGTTCTGGTGGATGCAGGAGAGGTTGTTTAAGGAACCTGAGGGATCATAAGGATCCGCTCCTCTTGTTAATACTGGGGAAGGGGCCCAAGGCTGCTTGCCTTAGTGACAGTCTAAGCATAAATCTCACAAGCTTGTTGAGTTCCTCTTTCCTTGAACTAAGACAAGAGTGTCTCCATTTACATTTTCTTGTCTTATTTGCTAATGCACTAATGAAACAAATCCAATTACACAACAGTATTACAATTTACTGACCAAGAAGGCAGTCCTCATTTGGTCTCCTAATTAGTATGGTGCTGTGCTAGTTTAGTTTGTGTGTCAACTTGCCTGGGCTGGTTGAGTGGCTGGGCAGCTGGATGTAGTATTCCCCATGATGAGACTGGTAATCAACTCCATGATGAAATCTACTGGGAGCAGCTGAGTAGCTGCCTTAGGGCTGTGGTCTGCTTCCTCTTTATATCAGGAGAAACCTTGGCAACAGTCTCTAGCTTATGACACGCTTGAACCCTTTATGTAGCCAAGTCATTGTTCAACAGCCTGCCATACACTGCCAATCTTGAGACTTCTTCTGGACTTGAATTCATGGCCTGCTTTGTTGTTATGTATCATTCGGACTGTGCCTTTTTAGTTGTCAACCTTGGGCTTGTCAGCCTCAGCAGCTAGCAGCTGAGTGAAGAAAAGCCTCTAGCTTCAGGGGGCTGGGAGCAGGAGGCAGAGCTGGACCTCAAGGTTGAAGGGCTTTCACCCAGCCCCTAAAGGCTGGCATGTTGAACTCAGACTTAAAACCTCTACGTTGCAAGAGAATAAACTCCTGTTTGTTCAAGCCACCCATTTGTGGTATATTCTTGTC